TTGGCCACAATCGCTTTCATGACAGATAATGTAGCAGAGGGTTCCAAGCAACAGTCAGGAGAAAATGTTGGGAAATGGGAAAGCATTTATATTATTTATTTCTCTGTGAAAATGCCGATTTTGGTCAAATAAAAATGGTTGTTGAGCATTTTCCCCTGACAAACCTTTTACTAATAAATGTGGGACTGTCTGATGGTTTTGTTTCTGGTGAAGATGGTTGTGTTTGTTCATCTCCCAGTGTGCTGAGGCAGTAAATGAGTGTGTGTGTCTACTGTTCATGTGTGTATACTAACTACCCTAATACCCCCCTTCCTGTTACCTCCCACCTCCACTTGTGCCACAATCACAGGGCACGGCTGATGCAGCTAACAGGTGTATTGTGTTGTGATTGCTGTGTCTGTTGATGGGAACGGGGAGCTGAGAGTCTCCTTAATAAAGAGAATCCCACCACCACCAGCACCATCATCTCCACTGTCTATGTGTGTGCGCAAGGGCGTGATTGGGGTTGGGGGTGAGGTGGAAAGCAGGGAGCCAATCAACAAGAAGCGATCAACCCTCCACAAATAAACATTGCCTACACACATAATCGCAAATAAAAAGGTCAGTGTCATTACAGTTACTGGAGGTGGAAGCGTGTGTGCATGCACAATTAACACGTGTATGTGTCTGCATGCGTGCCTGCTTCCAACCTTCTCTCTCTCACAAAGCTACATGTAAATATGAAATCTAAAAGGTCAACATCATTAGCAGTCCATTGGCCGCTGAACACATCCGCAATACCATGAGTGCTCTGGCAGCTGATAGTGAGTGAATGAAATCAGTCTTCATCTGGCTCAAGAACAAGTTATGTTTGTAGACAAACACCCAAAACATGCAAATAGGTGCACATATGAATAACAAATGCACAGACAATTACTCCATTAACATGCAGATACAAAAGGACTAGTTAGCGGCTATTGTGCGCAGACACTGGGGACCAAGCTGAATGATACTTAGCTGGAAAGAGAGGGCTGATGTGTACTGTAATTATGGCTCTGATGTGGTCTTGACTAATGAAGTAAACAAGCTCAATACAAACAATTCATCTGCACTCACAGACCCACTAAGAAACACAAGCGCACCAAGTGGCCAGCCAGGTGGCTCGACATCACGGTCTTCAGGGCCTGGGAAATGTGTTCTGGTGGGTTGGTCTTATTGCAGTTGTGTGTCCCCGCATGTGCGCACTGTGTATTCTTGTATGTTAGGACGTCACAAAGTGAGTGTGTAAAGGGGACACTAGGGGGGTTCTACCAAGATTAATGGAGCCAATCTCCACAGCTATCCAGCAGAGTGACCATACCCTCCCTATCCTGTTTTGCTCTTCTATTCTATTCCCCATCTCTCCCTCCGTCTATACTCCTTTCCCTCGATCTAACTCTAATTAAATGAATCAATCAGTGGCAACACTCTGGACAGATAGCATCACACTGCTGCGGCTACCGGCGTGTATGTTTGTGTGTTGCTTTACAGTTGCTGTTTAGATCCTGCAAAAAGGAAAGAAAAACAAGAATGAAATGGGAATAACTATGGTGACAATAAATGAGTGGCTGAGAGCAACAAAGACAAGGCAAGAAAGAAAGTAACCAGAAAAACTGAAAGAATTTGTAAACAGGCAGACATCGGTAGCTTGGCTGCCTTGCTCTTGTTTTTTTTTCTTTTTAAACATTAACTCTCTTCTGGAGACTTATCAGCCCAGGCTATGCTATCACACAGATGCATGAATGGACATTAGCCTTTCCCACTGAGCTATATACAGCCCTAGAAAGCCCTTATCTCATGCTCCTAGTGGACAATATACAGCCAGTGTCACCTCTTAATCATATCAATTTGATGAATACATATACATGATATATAAAAACAGTATTTGACACCGCTGGTACCTAGTGATAGGAAAACCATTGCCCCTATCATTATAACTTATTAACCTATGCCTAGACTGAATGTCTATTGCTTATTAAAGGCTGCTTAAGCAAACATAAGCTGTGATATTCACCTTGACTCTTGTGCAGCCTTTCCACAAAGTCACTCTGTCTGTTTCTCCTGCAGAGATATCACTAACAAAAGGTCAAATAATTCATAAAACATAAATATATTTAATAACTATGATCCACTCCAAAAGTTAATGTCATGGAAATGCATTCATAAATATTCTACCCATGATATGTGAGGGAGCAATGAAAAAAAAAGACCATGGGTAACCCCACCACATATTGTATCACAGAGGGTCAGAAGGATAGGATAGCATACATATTGTCTTGCTGTATATGTGTATATATATGAAACACAAAGATTACACAATAATTATGCCTTATTGTGTATACACAGGTTTTTAAAAGTGACCAATGGTCTATGTACGCGTGCCGCTAGGCTCTTACCTCAATGAAATTCTGCACCATACAAAACCCCAAACCCCAAATGCTAATATCTTCTTCCAATTCAAACTATTGCGCACATAAATTTTTGCTTCAGTGGTTGCAGAGAGCAGATGCATCTATAAAATGTGCTCCCCTATGGTTTGCTGTATGCGGCTGCAGCCAAGGTGTATAAGAGAGGGTGTTTAATGTTGTGTAGCGATGTTGGGCTATTCCCCCTCCTCTAACCATGCTGGTTGTGATTCCAGTGTGTGTCTTTCTTTCTTTCTGATAGCATCTGGCACAGAAAATAGTAGGGGACTTAAAAGGGGCACATAAAGTACATATGTGTCCACCAACATCATGGATATGTAGACACAAAGACACGTCTGATTAATCTTTAATTAACTAGTGCAAGCACAGAGACTCACAATATGATTAGATAGAAGTTCCTGACAAAGTACTTTACGCAGAACCAGTTCAAAAACTATTTTAGTATATATTCTCTGGATGAACTCTGTCAAACTCCATTATCAAAAGCTCTCATGACAACTAAGTGAATAGAAAAACTCCACACTGTGAAAGAGAGAGCGCAGTCTGTCATAACAGTGGCCATGTGGATGAAGGCCATCAAAGAAAGCAGTAGGATGGCTCTCAAATTGGAGGCCAAAAACAAAATCACACACAGGTAGCAAAACATACACAACTGCTACCAAAACACACATGAAAAACTTACCATAAACACACAAATGCCATCCTGACCCTAGAATGTGAATCACAAGAGAAGAAGCAGGGAAGGGTCTTTTATTCAGCCCAATTAAAAAAGGCAAAAAGCCCAAACAAAAGGAGTGTTTTATTGCACTCCCCACTATCAGCAGAAAGGCTCATTAGCCACAGCAGCATAATTAGCAAGATGCTGAACTCCTCGTTAAGGAGGGGCCCGAGCCGTAAACAAACCCCGCTGAACTCCAAACGCCCACGGTCTCTCTCTCTGTAATGAACTGCCACCGCTGTTCCCTCCCAGTGAGAAAACCAAGCGCGCAGACAGTAAGGCTCTGACAGAAACAAACACACACAGCAAAACACGCACTCATACGCGTACACACGAGCTGACAACTCATATCCAAGGTCTGCCGCACAAACACCCACAGCAAAAACAAACTGGGACACTGTCTTCCTTGACAACTGCGTGGACAAACACACACTTACATACAAACATTCATATTATAGACCGATATGCAAAAAATAAAGCGTGCATGCAAAACATACATTTTTACAATACTGGAGACACAGACAGCCATACCCACTAAACATTGAGAATCTGACAGCTGAGACAAATCTTGCCAACTGTCTGAATCTTGACTTTGGCGTTGTTATAATCCTCAACCTGCCACGAACCTGTTTTGAATTAAAAAGACTGCCAAAAATCAGCCACGTGAGCCAGTGTTTTAGCAAGTCACAATGAGTTGATTCGATAGTTTGTAAAATCGAATCAACAAAATAAAGCAAGGTAGATATCACAAGATCAGGACAATAACAAAACAACTATGTGCATGCATGTGCACGGGCCCTGACTGTTGAACAGGAAATAATTACTAGGACACCTAAAGAGAAAGCTGCACTTGCACACATAGGCACAACATGAAGAAACATCTAAAAAGTGAAGCCATTTTTCTTCTCTGCTACAGCGGCCATGAAGTGTCACAGTCATGTGGTGTGTGTGTGTCATGGACACACTGAATTTCAGCCACAAAACCCTCAGAAGGTCAGCCATTATTATCAAAAATTTGTTTTTTGCAGAAAAAGGCCCATGAAAGACACATATAAGAGCTACGACATATATGTGCACGTGTGTCACACACTGTAACCACCACTTAGAAACAGCTCCAAAAAGATCAAGCACGATTTCAGCGTTAATTATGATCCTGTGAAATAGTTGGCAGGCTGATCATAATGATCTGAGAGAGAAAGTGAGGGAGAAGGGATTCTGAATCTGTCTGTCTAAAAACCTAAACCAAGAAACAGTTCACAGAAAACAGTGAGGTGAATGTACGTAAACAGCTGCATGCATCCAGACATGTGCTATTCGCATATTGTGGGTGCACACAGGTTTGTGAGGTTTTTAACACCAAAAAAGTCCAATGCACTTCAGAGTATCCAGATAAAGCAAAAGTGCTGACAAACCTGATCAAAGCTGGTAGATAATTGCAGTAAAAAGTTTGGAAACCCTATGGAATTACCAGGCTTTTCCTCATTGAAGTGATAATTATAAACAATCTGTTTGAACTAATAACACACAAATACTTTTCTTCTTTTAGGTATTTATGAAACATATCAAATGATTTCTTTGCAACTGTAGGTAGTCACCCTTTGCACAATCATTGTCCAGTCCATGAGTGTTCAGGTGTCCACTTTACACTGAGAAGATTGTTGATTTAACCTGATGATAATTTTTAAGGACACAATTTGTGACGTTGAGTTGTGTGAGTTGTGTTGGCAATACTCTCCACGTTTGTTTCCATTACATACATAGTATCAGTACATTTACAAGTGTTGAACGCTATTACCAAGCATTTAATTGTTGATTGGAATATGGTGAGTGTCTCTTACCTGCAGTAGGGGTCTCTGGACACCGAGAACCTTCATGGTATCAGCATTGGCAAGAATCTTCAGAGGATCAGCTGCCTTGCTAACTGCCTCGATTTCCTTATTAATCTCTGTCCGTACCTAATGGTTGATTGACAAAAGTTTGCGTCAAATAATATATTTACAGGGGAAATGAATGAAGATCTGTTTTCCATGCCATTCCATGGAGTGAGGTAATCAGTAATCAAGTAAATGATCAACTTCCTCCAAAACCTTGCTTCCAGAGAAGGACTTCTTCACAATCCATTTTTAAGTAATTTCGTAAAACCTACCTCTTTTCATTAGCCACAGTATGAGAGTTGATTTTTACTTGTTTTGAATTGTTTTTGTATTAATGGTTTTGCATTTTTATTCTGTTCTTAATGTTAAGCACTTTGGTCAGTACTTGCTGTTTTAAAGTGCTTTATGAATAAAGCTGGCTTCGCTTGACTTGGCAAAAGATGCAATAAATGAAAATAGCTGGGAAAATAGATCGCAGCTTGAAAACAGCATATCATGTAGGTAACTTAAAAGTGAAAAGAAAATCTAAGAAACAGAGACAAATGTTTCCATGAGGCAGAATTACAATTCCATTTGTGCTAAAGCAGTTTTCCATCCATCCATTCATTTCCACTTATCCTTTTCAGGGTCGCGGGGAGCGCTGGAGCCCATCCCAGCTGTCATAGGGCGAGAGGCAGGGTACACCCTGGACAGGTCGCCAGTCTGTCGCAGGGCCAACACACAGGGACGGACAACCATTCGCACTCACATTCATTCGCACATTCACACCTAGTGACAATTTGGATTATCCAATTAACCTATCCCCACGAGCTGCATGTCTTTGGACGGTGGGAGGAAGCCGGAGTACCCGGAGGGAACCCACGCAAACACAGGGAGAACATGCAAACTCCACACAGAAAGACCCCGGCCTGATGTTGGAATTGAACTCAGGACCTTCTTGCTGTGCGGCAACAGTGCTAACCACCGTGCTGCCCGCTAAAGCAGTTTTAAACCAAACAAATAAAACACAGATTGATGCAGAATAGATTTAATTTGTGCAGGAAACTCTTCTGTTTAAAATACATGAACCTGCAAACAGGGAGAGATCTATGTTCTATCTATGGCCACATATACTTGGAAAATAACGTGTAGTTGCATTAGCACACCTCATTCTACTGAGCTAAGACCTTGAAATTCAAACGCAACAGTGGTCTCTAGTACTATGCCATTTCGTTTTGAACATGACTAGGCCCTGAAAGTCCATGCTTCAAAACATCAGGTTTGGCTCCGATTCTTCCCGTTGAGCTTCCTTTCATTCACACGAACACTGCTTGTGGTTTCCTGATGTAAGAAGCTAAAATCGCAGGTGAAGTGAGCTTTTATTCTTAAGAAATAAGGCCTTGTGGGTAACCTATGCGTGATGCAGTTCTAGTGTTGTGAAAAGACTGCAAATTTAGCATCTGAGGAAACCACTGTGAAACGGGGATGAAAAAAAGTCAAAGTATAGAAATATGCCTACATTTCAATATCTAAATGGGAGAGAAATAAAGGCCCGGTGCAAACAATGTTGTGAGCGTCTTGCTCCCTCCCCCTCTTCACTGCAGAGTTTTAAAGGTTATCAGCTAATGAGGCAGGCTAGAGCGAAGACACAGCAGCATTTTGAACTTTTGAATAGCCTTAAAAAAGTTAAACACACACTCTGTAAGCAAGCATTAGTCATTTAACAACAATGAACAATCCAAACTACTAGAAATGTGCAAGTTTCAAAAATATGAGCAGCTTCAGTTACATTATATTAAAAATTTCTGGGAATGTATGTTTATGTATTTACAAAATGTTAAAGTGAAACTAAAAATTAGGGCAGGAAATCAACATGTGATGTAAGATGTCAAGATATATGTGTATTGTTTACTCTATTATACATATACAATGTTATAAAAAGTTTATTACCACAGACTATCTAGCAATATCTAAGCAACTGTAAATATAAAAAATTTAAAAAATAACAAAATTATACTTAAATATGCCTGAAATAATTACATAAAATAATAAATCTTTCTATAAATATTGTAGCTTTCCCCCCCAAACCCAAAAACCTTGATTTCTCTTCAAGGTATCTTAAGAACCTTTGCAGTGATGTGTGTTTTCTTATTCCAACAAATCCTATTGGTCTATTGGTATTTTATGTCAATCCAAATAAAACAAAAAAGTAGTTTACTTTATTCTTTTAAAAACAGGCAATACTGCTAAATCCACCCAATTTACAGTACGAAAAATAAATCAATTAAACTACACTAAGTCAAATTTATTTGTGTTTATTTGTATTCACAAGTTTACACTAAGTGAATGCAGTATAAAAAAAATCAGTGTTCAGTGAGAGGAGATATATAAATACAATAGCATCTACAATACATTTTTAAAAAATCCAGCATTTAAAAGAGTTTGAGTCTCTAAGTGTCTATAAAAAGCAACAAAAAAAAATGTTAAAGATGTAAATTTGGTTGTTGTGCCATTGTGCTTCTTCTCACAGAGAAAACTGAGAATATGTGTTTTGTTTCGCTGTGGTCTTTCTGTCCAGAATGGTGTTGAAACCAAAGGACTTTGACATGGAAATGCTGACACAGCAGATTAAGTGCATAATTGTACAAGTAGACAATACTGAAAGGGATAACAGCTAAATTTAAATTAGGTCGAGTTTTGTTTTGTTTTTTTAAACACTACCTGAATTTTTTTTAGTTCATTAGTAACCACAGCAGATGTTGACTGCAGTGGAAGAAGTTACAATGAAGCGTAGCTGCGGTTTCTTAATGTGAGGGATTGATTTCTGGGAAAGCTGGTGTTTCACTAAAGCGCTGCACTGACTGCTGATATCGCACTCTGTGAGAATTCATAAAATCCATCAATTTGTCATTATACTAACCTGGTTAAGGAACAGATCATTAATGTAGTAAGTGAGGAAAGCTCGAAGCTGGCACTGCTTGGCTTGACCTGGCCCCATGTTCATCTCTATTTCCTTAATGAATCTGAAAAGAAAAGGAAAAACATACAGATTTTAAGACATCAGAAAAACACCTGTGAGTAGTGGCTCATGTTGAAGTATACAGGCTTGACACCAGCAACACAATAACACTGTATCACTGGATCCAGCATCAATTCAAGGAGTAAGGTCTGCCATAGAAGCAAATTTTGGAAAGCTTTAAATGCCCCTCAAGATGCCTTTCAGTAGGGCAATAAAGCTTAAAGGCTCCAGTGGAGCTCCTTAGAGCCATTAGGGCAAACTTCAGTTAGACTAGCTAACTCTCAGCTGTGTGTTTGCAATAGTGGATGTGTACAGAGAAACACAATGGAAAGTATAAAATAAAACACCAGAGCTTTACAGAGTTATTAATATGAACCAATCACAGCTGCAGAGTGTATGCTCTCAGAATTCTTCCCAAACGCTGGTGTCTGCTTGGTCAGATAGGGTCAGACAGTTATATATGGGTTTGTAGAGGCACATACACACCTCGTTTGTCAAAGAATCACTGGTCACTGGCCTTGTCTCACACACACACCACAGGGCAAACCATGCAAGAGTAAGTGCCTTCTCAACCGCTCAGCACATATAAATGCACAAATAAATCAAACTCCTCACAACAGAATTCTTTGACCTATAAGACAGTTAATGTATGACCTCAACTTCCAGAACAGAGAAACAGAGAGTGTGTAAAGACAAGGAAAAACGAAATGCTTTATGTGGGAAGATCTTGAAAAAGTGAAGACAGGAGATGAACATAATACAGGTCTGAGGCTGTGAAGATAACTCCAATTGGAGATTCAGCTGGACATAACCATTTGTAAAAAAAAGACGGCTACACCATTGCCTGGTAACCTGTCTCTGTGCTTTAGTAATGCGAAGTGGAAGTTAGGGCCCACAGGCTGTAGCATTGCAGACAACTAGTGACACTTAGTCTATGCTGGAATATAGATCAGTGAAGGTGGATGATTGATTACCTAAAGCTTGCATACACACACACACACACACACACACACACACACACACACAGAGAGAGAGAGAGAGAGACAGACATGCACGCACACAAAAATGCCCACAAATAAAAACAAATCTCAAAAAGCACACAATGAGCACAAGCCGTGGGATCACACTACTCAGCAACTGTACCCAATTAGTCAGCAAGAGCTGAGCCAGTGTGTTTCTGTATGTGCGTGCATCCTTGTGTGTCAGAGTAGGCAAGAGAGACAGGGTGAGCAAGAAACCTAAACCTATTCTAAATCCTCCATTGATTCCCACTGAAACTCACCACAACAGAAAGTTAAGTAGGAAAAACTCTTCTGTGGCCTCATTAAAACCGTCAAGCTTGCAAAACCATTGAGCCAAGACATATATAAATACACACACACACACACACACACACACACACACACACACAGACACACACACATATATACATACATACATACATACATACGTGTGTGTGTGTGGTTTTTTTCCTGTTGTTGACAACTTCATTTCCAGAAATTGATCACAGGATAAAAGTTGCCAGGTTGAACGTGCAACGTGTTGTTCTGCGATCCCTCGCACGCTGTCAATATTGTCATTGTTTCAATACAAGTGCCAAGATGATGAATCTATAAGTTGGTGTGTGAGCACAGATGGATTTTTGTAGGCAGGGGTGATAACGTTTGAGTAATGTAGCAGGGACGAGGCAGTAAAACGGCTTTGTGTATCCAGACAGCCATCTGGCACCGAGCCGCGGGCCCATTCCCCGGGATACAGAGCCCATGGGTGATACGAGGAAGTTTAGCAAAGGTAGCTTGGCTAAAAGCACTGTTGGGGCCCACAGTGCTTATACAGCCCAAAGAGCACATGTTCAGTGAGCAAGACAACACACATTAAACAAAATGTTTTTGAGTGGCTTCAGAGAGATCATTTGGAATATAGAGTAGTGAGCCTGGTTAAAATGTAAATGGATAAATAACACAGGGAAAAGCACAGACGAGCTGTGACTTCCAAATGGATCCTAAAAGAAAATCTCTCCCAGCTTATTATCATTACAACCACATCTTCCAAACGTCTGCCTTGCTGGTGGCATGGCATACCGTAGAGAGAATAACAACTTCTAATGATGCTGATGATGGTGATAACAAATGACAGCATAGAAGTTAAAACACACATGCAAGCCCTCACAAACATACCCATCTAAAAGCCATTAACTTGCCTAAAAACTCAGAAAGTACTCTTCTCTGCAGCGTGTAGAAGCCCATTTGTAGACACTGCGAGCAAAATCTCAAACAGAAACATGGGGAGACAGACTGTCCTCTCACTGAAGAATGACAGCTAGCTTAATATGATCTCTCAAGGCTACATCTGAGCTTGCTTTTACACTTGTCTAACCTACCATTTTCACCTGTTATCATGAGCTACAGCACTATACAACAGAAAATGACTTGGTCTGATAGATTCTCAACTTGTCTGGTTTGAATTCTCTCTGCATTAATGGTGGAAAAAAAGTTTTCTATTCCCCTGAACAAGTCTTGTCTCGCTATATTAAGTAGCCAAAGCATATTTCAGACACGCTTTAAAGGGCAAAGTAGTACTGTTTCATAAAAGCAGCCAACATCCTTAAGGCTCTCTTATTTCTACAGAAATAAATGTGCATTTAGACCTGCATACCAGTCTAACTTACCTCATAAAAAAATCATACTAGTAAAGTTACCAGTGGGCAAATACATAAAATGCTTTCTTAACTGGCTTCCAATTAACAGAATTTTTTTTTTTTTAATTACTCATTAATAAGATGCGTTTAATGCCACCAGACTTCAGTAACACTGCCCATTTAGCTGATGATGCTGTTATAATTGGGCCCAATGTGATGTTAACAATGTCAGTTTCATTGAGAGGTGACAACAAAACACACCAGTCAACCATATGGCAGGTGTACACAGCAGAGGTGTCAGCCAAGTCGCTAAGGAGCCGCTGTGGAAGCAGTGGAGAGACACAGCAGCAATAATGCCGTGTAGATTCACACACACACCTTTTTTCCAGCTGCCCTAAAAATAATATGACAGTCACTGACACACCGACTGGCAAAAAACAGCAACACAGCCCAACAAAGGAAATGAATCACTGAAGGGACAGCAGGATTTCAGAGTGAGTCCCTGTAACCCACAAACGACACATATAGTGCTTAATGTCACTACTCAAACAGCTTAAAGACACCACGATAACACAGTCGGATCTTCCAAAAGGATAATATCATAAAGCAATACATGTAAGGAGTTGCTGTTAACTTTATTTTTACGTTCATTTTTCTCCAAGCTCTTTTACTAATGACCGGAGAGTCGGGCCACTGTATAAAGTCTCCTTTAGCACATCTTGAAGATTATCAGTGGGGTTAAGATCTGGACTCTGCAGTGGCCAGTCCATGTGTGAAAATGATGTCTCATGCTCCCTGAAGCATTCTTTCACTATTGTAGCCCAATGAATCCTGACACTGTCATCTCGGACTATGCCCGGAAAGAAAAGCAATCCACTGACAGAAAAACCTGGTCATTCAGTACATTCAGGGAGTCAGCTGACTTCCTTCTTTGGCAACATAACGTTTCTGAACCTTGACTGACCAACTGAAGCCACCTCAGGTCATAACACCGCCCCCACAGGGTTGTTCACTACGCACCAGGCATGATAGGTCCATCACTTCATCTGCCTCTCATTTTACCCTGATCCACACATCACTCTGGAACACGGGAAACAATTGCCCCAGAGTCCAATCATTATATACCCCCTCGCAGCCTATTTTCTGATTAGTCTCACTGATAAGTGTCTTTTTTTTTTTTTAAAGACTATACAGTTGTTTGTTTAGTCCCATTCCCCTGAGTTCTCTTCACATTGTGTGGGTGGAAATGCTCTTTCACTATTGAATTCTACTGTTGACACATTTTGATGGGATTTCACCAAATACTTAAATAATCTCTGATCACGATCATAAAAAAATAACCCTGTTAAATCATTTAAGATGATGGTTCACAGCAATCCTTCTGATTGTCAATCAAACGATTTAGTATTTATCACTAATAAAATGTACAACCAAAGTAATGTATTTTTTTTAAAAAAAGGTTAAGTATTACTTGACTCCATATTGCTACATTTAGGTTGAAGCAATCTCTCCAAAACAGCTATTCCTTCACCACGGGTGCAATAGAAGCAGTGACCAGGCAGACACAAAACATAAAATGAATCCAGTTTCTCTTCTAAACGACAGACAGAGTGGCTTCAGAGGCAGCAGATCCCACACACACATATCTTCACACAGATGCCAAGACTCCATCACTCATACCCTTCCAAAACACGGCATGCGGACAATACAAGCCCCAAACAATAAAAACATACCCAGACTTTCATTCAAATTCAGTGTTTGTTAAACTCTGTATTTCACTCTGGATCCAACATGGCTGCACACTTGCACATTAAGTACAGTTTCTTAGCAGCCACTGTAGATGATTGTACTTGACATCATGTAATTATCTGTCATTAGAAAACAGATGTCAGAGCCTAGGGTCTAGAGCTGGATAATTCTAGGTGTCATGCCCCATGTGTAATCATGTTAAGAAATAACATTCCTGACAGGCATAATATATTTATGCTAACATGAAACTGTCTAATGAGTGAATTTACTGTATCCCAATGGCTTTGTGATCATTCGGAGAAAGCTAAGGTTGGAATATTTTTTTAGATAGGTAAAACAAATGAGAAGAGACAAGGACAAAAAATGTTTTTAGAGCAGTTTTGAATTCATCTCCCACTAGAAACTAAACCTAAGGTAACAAATGCATCTTTAAATTGAAAGGGCTGGGATCCCATCATCTATCTCTATCTGCAGCAGCAGAGTAATGATGCTGAAAGAGAAATGGGATAAAGACAGAGATTTAAGAAAGACAGCAGAATAAGAGTGTGCTGAGATCGATTAGGGACTCAGCATTTTTAAATCTCCCTGAATTCCCCTCAGGCACGAACCTATCGGCT